TTTGTCATCATAACCTCATTTAACGAATTCACATTGATAAAATTGTTCATTTAGCGTTATACTGGTGTCAGATCTCAAATCTTGCAACGAAAAAAGGCCACACTGAAAATCGCGAAAATGGTCCCTCGCGTATCAAATGTACCAACCGTATAGTGAAATTCACAAAATTCGAAGAGTGTGAGAGCCATTTGTATGTTGGAATATCATTTTCTTCCATTTTCAAATCAATCTAGACTCTTAATCGCATTTTGGAGCTCGAAAAGGTGGACTTATCTCGTTTGTCCGGGAATCGTTTGCAGCGAAATGGACTTATCTCGTTAGGCACGGTGTTATATTTAACAATAGGTGCTCTTTTCAGCTTTTGTGACACTTGTACCTTAAAGTAGACATAACATATAGGTAATTCAGGTCATAAACTCGATTTCGAAAAAAATGGAGTTATCTTGTTCTTTCCACCACAGATATAGATACCTTGTAAATACAAGGTATTTATTATATATATACCTTGTAAATATATAATAAATTTATTTTTTTTTTTTTAGTCATCGATTTTCCAGATTGGTTGGGGAGGCCAGAACTTTTAGCGCGAGACTCATTCAACGCGTAATATATAGATGTGCAGAAGTGGGAAAAGTTAAAATATAAAATGATCTAATGCACAAATTACTTGGAAAATGACTAACAATAACTTCATTTCAAAAAGAAAAAATGTAAAATTTTAAACAAGTCATTAAACAATCAATATTGATATAAGATATTTCGTAATATACATGAAAAATAGACCTTTAAAAATTAATTGAAATTGATATTGATACTGATGAATTGATAATCTAATAATAAAAATAATTTACTAAATAAAAATTATGTGTAAATCCACTTCAAAAAAAATTTTCTTTGTACAGTTAAAAAATTATTTTATTGTGAAGTAAGCTTCAAACATGGTTCAACCTAATTTCATTTCTATTATTAGTATTAATGCATTAACTATCACAAAAAAACTCAACTGTCTACACATATTAGCAACCGAAAAATGAAATTTATTAAGATATAATATATAATATTCGTTACCCAAAATATTTCAGTAAATATATATGGGTCAAAATAATACTTTTTTACAAAACCGTGCGCACGTATGTCACCGATCTTGACGCGCTTTTGGTATGTTATAGTACATGGTAAAAAGGTCCCAAAAAAAAATTTTTAGACCCCCTCCCCCCTCCTACCCCCCACTTCCGGTATAAACGTCCATTTTCGATCTATATTTTTTCTGAGGACATGAAGCAAGTAAAAAATCTGAAAAAATTCATAAAAATACTTTTCCACAATCCAAACAACCTTGAATTTTTTCAGATTTTTTGAGTGCTTCAGGCCTTCAGATAAAATCATTGAAAATTTCAAAAATCGAGATACGGCGGTATGAGCCGATGTAGTACTCGGAAATTTTTTCAGTTATTTTTCGCATTAAAAAACATAACCTCAATTTTTTTCAGATTTTTTCAGATTACCTAACGCACCTTTTGAAGCCAAAAACCGATTTTTTTGACGAAAATAATTTTTTTAGGACAGTACGGAGCCTCGAAAAATCTGAAAAAAATTTTTTCTTGTTTTTTTCATCAAAATACGTAATCTCAAATTTTTTCAGATTTTTTAATTGAAGGCGATAGCTTCTAGGGCCGAAAAATGCTATTTTTAACAAAAAATGGTTCCTAGAACCCGATGGTTCCGGTGAAAAAATTTGAAAATATTTTTTTTGAATTCCTTGTCAAATTTTAATAAATTTTGACCGTTTCAAAAGTTCGATTGAAGCTTCCTAGCTCATTTTAGAGCAGGACAAAGATTAGTGCAAAATATCTGAAGACGTTTCTGAAGACATTAAGGAATGATAAAACTCGTTTGATGCTCTAAAATGAGCTAGGAAGCTTCAATCGAACTTTTGAAACGGTCAAAATTTATTAAAATTTGACAAGGAATTCAAAAAAAATATTTTCAAATTTTTTCACCGGAACCATCGGGTTCTAGGAACCATTTTTTGTTAAAAATAGCATTTTTCGGCCCTAGAAGCTATCGCCTTCAATTAAAAAATCTGAAAAAATTTGAGATTACGTATTTTGATGAAAAAAACAAGAAAAAATTTTTTTCAGATTTTTCGAGGCTCCGTACTGTCCTAAAAAAATTATTTTCGTCAAAAAAATCGGTTTTTGGCTTCAAAAGGTGCGTTAGGTAATCTGAAAAAATCTGAAAAAAATTGAGGTTATGTTTTTTAATGCGAAAAATAACTGAAAAAATTTCCGAGTACTACATCGGCTCATACCGCCGTATCTCGATTTTTGAAATTTTCAATGATTTTATCTGAAGGCCTGAAGCACTCAAAAAATCTGAAAAAATTCAAGGTTGTTTGGATTGTGGAAAAGTATTTTTATGAATTTTTTCAGATTTTTTACTTGCTTCATGTCCTCAGAAAAAATATAGATCGAAAATGGACGTTTATACCGGAAGTGGGGGGTAGGAGGGGGGAGGGGGTCTAAAAATTTTTTTTTGGGACCTTTTTACCATGTACTATAACATACCAAAAGCGCGTCAAGATCGGTGACATACGTGCGCACGGTTTTGTAAAAAAGTATTATTTTGACCCATATATTATTTTTCTGTCATAAATAAATCATATTTAATTTATTTAAAAATCAACGAAACTATTGAAATCTGCTCAAAGAATGAACAACCTTATGATTACGTCAAGTTACAAAAAAAGAAAGCTAATGGATTCAGTAGAAGAATTTGGTTCAACTGGTAATGTGCAATCAGACAAAGACATTATCAATTATAATCCAAAGATTGTCTTGAAGAAATTGGAGTTGGACAGAAAGGTACAAAAAAGTTCAAGTCAAACTCGTTCAAAGTCTCAATCGCCTTCTAGCAGTTCGTTGCTTGTTCGGTTATCCTGCCATACTTCACACTAACATTGGCTGCTTATTGCAACTTTGGTTGTTCATTAGCTTATCGTTTATTTGGAGAAACGAGGGGAGGCGTTTATGAAGGAAAAGTGATGCCGTGGAAGTCGGATTGTGTTGGTCTTAATCTGCGACCGATTCGGTAGAATGTGGCATCTTTCGAAAGAGAAAATAAGTAACCGTCGATTTTCATGGCGGTCGTAAAAAGGTGTTAGATTTCTCTGGTCTTCGCTGCGAGCCGTTCGGGAAGTCCCGAGTAGTTTGTGTCTCGCTGTATGTACAGTGGGCTGCCTGTATGTAGGCGCTTTCAGAGGTTACATTTAATTTAATTACAGTAGATGGGATGCCACTTGCTATTCGGCACTGCATTGAATGTATTCGACAAAAACCAATCAAAAGTTATTCTCAAATGCCCGATTTATCTTCGATACGTGTTATCGAGCCGCCAGGTTTCACTCATATAGGTGTAGATTTTTTCGGTCAGTTCATGTTGAGTTAGCGATTGACCTATCTGATGAAGGTTTTTTATCAGCTTTGAAAAGATTTACTAATCGTTAAGGTGTACCAGAGCATATGTACTCAGATAATGGTACCAATTTCGTCGGAGCTGATAAGGAATTACGAAAAATTTACGAATTACATAATTCTCCTGAATTTCGACAATTCATAGGAAATTATGCTGTGACAAAACAAATAGTTTGGCATTTAAATCCGCCTCTTTCACCACACTTTGGCGGTCTTTGGAAGGCACCCGTAAAAAGATTTAAAAACCATTTGAAACGAGTTTTAAAAGGTCCCACCCTCACGTATGAACGAATGGAAACTTTTTTAATTGAAATTGAAGCTGTACTCAATTCTCGGCCACTATATGCCCAAACCTCTCATACAAATGATCCTCTCGTGATCACTTCATCCCGTTTATTAAACAAACGAAATTTAAATACCTTACCAGAAAAACCCTCTATTTCCGTTTCAGATAACCGTCTATCCACTTACACTTTTATTACAAAAGCAAAACAAGATTTTTGACAAAAATGGCATGAGTCAACAGCAGAATTAACAATAGATTCTGTTGTTATTCTTATCGACGATGTCAACAGTTGTACTCGATACCTACTCGGCGTAATTACTAAGATATTGCCTGGGAGTCATGAGATTGCACCTGAAGCGACTGTCAATACAACAAATGCAATTTATAAACGCAATTTTGCACGACTTTGCGTATTACCTGTTGTAACAACCTTAGAAGCTTCATATGTTTATGTTATGTTAATTGATTTAACTGCTTACATTCATATGAAATTCATTTCGCTGCTAAAGACCGAAGTATGTTACACAACGTAACTTATTTCAATTCTTTCTTGTTATTAAAAAAAAAAAAAAATAAATAAAAAATAAAAAAATTAAAATTGTTTAATAACCTGTAAAGAAAATAAGTTGTGTTGAAGGTTAGCTCTCTAACAAAAGGTTGGAGTTTTGTTTTGTTTCTTCGAATGCATTCGAAAAAGCTCTGAGCAGTGTTCACGATACAGATCAATAATCGTTTTTAAGCATGAGTACAGCGTGAGTGCAAATAATAATGTTATTCAGATGTTGACTACGCGGATCACCTGAACGCTGTTAGAAGTCTAAGACCGGGTATGTAATTAGTATCATTGGGTCCGATGGATGATGTGGTTTTTGCATCGGCAGTCCGCTGTGTTTTGACTGTGAATTACAAAGGTGCGATACAGCTAATCAAAAATCCTCACATAAAATAATGATGGACCTGAAAGTGAAGCCAATCTATTCAACCTGTGATTGGTCGAGTTACTTATGCCTCGAGACGAAATGCAATAAAGTGACACCTACGGTCAAAATAGTAACTTTCTTAAAAACCCTACTGAAAAATTGCTAGTGTTGTTATAAATGGAATTGCTTAATATATAAAAATTATTTATATGAAAAGAAGAACGTGAAAATTATGTTTTGGTATATTTATTCTTCTACCGTTTAATATCCAATGTGAGCTAGAAAACACAATATTGATCTGGAGCAAAGCGTAAATGTATGTGACTGTTAGTATTAACAGAAAAGCGATTATTCTCGAACGTCTTACACATCAGATTGTAATATTAATTAATCTATTCAAAATTAAATATTTATAATAACCATTCAACGTCCAATAGTTTTAAAATTAAGTTTCTTCAGTATAAGAGCATTTGACAAAAAAAATGCCACCAACATTAATGACTATAGAATATTTTCGTAAAAAAACCGCTGCTGTTCATATTATACTTTTAGTAGATTATTTGAATAAGAATAAAATTACACAAGAACATTTAGATAATCAAGATATTTTGGATGATATAATACGTAAGGGAATGGGTAAATCTGTAAGACAACGCCTTCCGCCAAAAGATATTAATGCGTTTAAAGAAACTCTTCGCTTTTTTAACATTGATGAATTGAAGAAAACTAATCTATACCGAATAAATCGTGGTATATTGGCCGTTGCTTGTGTTGAACATATCCTGTACCCTGACAAAGATCATAAAAAATATAAACAAATATATAATTGCGACAAATTTACGGCAAAGAAGGTGTATAAAAAACTGGGTGAACATTGTGGTTTCACAACAGAAGATGAGCTCGATCCTATTATAGTTACATCAATTAGATCTTTTTTTAGGAGCACCTTGTTTTGGAAAAAAAAAACATTCTTGGAGACGATAAGAGATTATTTGAAAACGGTTGACATTAATGCAGAAGAAAAGCACTACATAATGAATGCGTCGATTCAATTTATGTAAGTCAATTTATTGAAAATGCCTGCTACAATTATTAAAATTTAATTTAATTTCCAGTAATAATAAGAAAACTTTTAAAACTATTCACACTGTTCCATTGCCAAGATATATTATGAATCAAAAATATTTTCAAAAAAAAGGAAACGCAGAAGTTCTCATTAATTTGGTAAATTATTTGGAGAAAAAAGAAGTGAAAGAAGAAGATTTAGATAACGAAAAAAATTTAATAGATATACTGCGCGAGGGAATGAAAAAATTTGTCACCTATCCACCTACAAAATTAGAATTAGAAGTGTTTAAAAAAACGATTCTAAATTTTACAATCGAATACTTAACGGTAACTAATCTTTATCGAATAAATCGTGGGATATTAATTGTCGTATGCGTTGAATATGTTCTTTTTCCTGGACAAGATTATGAAGAGTATAGAAAGATTTATGGCGGCGATCGCTCTAAGGCCACCGCATTATATAAAAAACTCTGTGGTATTCCTAAAGAAAATAAAGTCAATGGAGCCTTAGCTAAATCGGTTAGAACTTTTTTTCAGTATCGAAATAGAAATGTGGAAACGATTCGATTATATTTACAAGATATCGATATTGATTCTGAAGAGATCGAATATATAAAAAATGCGTCGATTCAATTGATGTACGTAAATGTGTTAAAAATAATATACAATTATGTACTTAAAAATTTTATTTAATTTTTAGTAGAGGTAATGAAGCTATTGAAGCTGATCAACCGATGGCTGCAATCGAAGATCATCCAATAAATGTGATCACCGACGACGAGGAAACCCTTCCACCTATCTCAGATATGCCATTGGAACATGTTGACTCTCCTTCAGGAGTATTAATACCGGTAAACCAGGGATTTCTTTCCCGTTACTCTCCCAATGAGGTGGTGTTGGCGAAAAGGTTCAAATCGTATTTCTGGCCAGCACAAATTATTGAAGTCTATAGTGATAAGATATATGTTACATTTTTTCCTCTATCGGAAGAAATGGAGCAAGAGGAACTCTCATCGGAAGAAGATGTAAGAGCTTTTACGGACGAAGAAATCGAAGCCGCTGGTGCCTCTTTATGTACAGGTTTATCACAAGAAGCCTTTAAAAATGCAGTGAAATTTGCTTCAGCAGAATTGAATTGAATACATTCTCGTTAATTTATGCATGCAATAAATCATTTTATGATAATTATACTCCAGGAAGTCGGGGTTTTTATCTCAAAAGATTAGTGATAAACTTATAGCAACCCCAAAAGGTGACACTCCGACCACTTGAAGGTAAATATTTTTTTTACATTCAATTGGAGGCCTCAGCGGGGAATGATTATCGAAATAATCATTCAAGTGAATACTCTAAATAAATGCGTCAATTTGCAATTGCTCTATGAAAATTGATAAAAAAAATATAAATTTGTACAATAAAAAGAATTAATATGCCTTGTTGTTTAACGCACCGCTTAATGCCACATTTTTGCGCCATTTATGTAAACTATTTGCACTGAATCATCATTAAAAATATAATAAAATGTCATAAAGTTTCATTTACAATTATGGCTACGTCATTCACGAAAGGTACACATGTACACGCGTAGACATGACAACTGCACCCACGAACAAACAGACAATAATTTCCTCAGCTTTCCAAGAAGTCAGATTTTCGAAATTTCGGTGACATTTCGACCCGCGTAATAGCTGTTTCGTCGTGCAGTACCCTGTGTTGTTCAAAATCGGATGTTTTAAGACGTTTATCGACGTATTTTAATTATTATAGAAATAACATGTACTCTCTGAAAAATATGTATTTCGATTAGAAATCTTCTCAGCTTTCGAACTATATCACAAAATCTTAAAAATACATTTTTTGAGATATTTAATATTTGAAGTTCACTTATATTCCGGAGAAAATGGAAAATTTTCGAAAATTTCACTCCACTATTGAAAAGCTGAGAAAATTTCCAATTGAAGCCATATGTCACATAATTTTTTTAAGTGAGTTCAGGGGGTTTTTCGGCGAATTAGAAATTAAGCAATTTCGCCTAAAATTGCCGTGCCGCCTCCACGATAGGATACTTGTAGTAATAAACGCTTAATATGATCGATTGACTTTTGCAAGTGACAATATACATTTACAAGATGTACAACACACACAATGATTGAGGCCTACAACGAACCGATAGTCATGTGCATTCAACGGCAAGATGTAATAGATAGACCACTCCCGAGCCTCGTGTATAATTTTCGCTCGTCGTTGCCATGTGTGAACATCGAGCCTTGACTTTCGTGCATTCGAAATTTCACATTGTTCTTCGTACTTTTGTATGTATTTGAATTAAAATTAAAATGTTTTCGACGGTTTCGTCGATCTACATCGGTATTTTCGGGAGATAAACAAATAAAAACAAACGTAATAGACGACTCGTCCTCAGTCAATTAGTCATACTGGAAACTTTCATAAGAGAGCTCACAATCGAATAACATAACTGTTTATGTAAATAAATGTGAATTTGAATGTTCGAAAGCAGGAACTGTGTGCTTCAATTTCCATCTCATCCGAATCATGGCTCATATAGCGACGTCAAACCGATTTGAACCGATTTATGTTCGTGAAAACTGGCAAGAAATGCGCCGCAATGTCCCTTCGCTATAAACGAAAATCCGCTTAATTTTATAATAACAAAACCAATGATGAAAAGCACGCGATGCAGCAGGCGTTTTTGATCAATAACAGTTTTTTTGTGGATTTTCTACTGTATTGCTATATGATAGACTTATAATATGAGGTCCTTTACTGGAACAGTGATATTCTTCGTAAGCATGATCGATTTATACTTATTCTTGTAAAAATCTGTGAACTTTTACTCTCGTCTCCATCTTATATGAGGTCCCTGTCGGAAATCGGTAATGACACGACATTCTGGACTTGTGATGGTGACGGTGGCGGAGTGGTATATATTGTTGCCCCAATGCCAAAGACAGAAAAGTACAAGTCAGCCATGACCATTCAGACACACGATATAGCAGCAACTAAGGCAGCGAATAAACGTCGATGGGCGCAGTGTAGGTAAAATGGCACAAGTGCAAAGAGCAGCAACACTACGTAAAAATCGCTATACGGTAACGATTTCTCAATTTATGTATTAACTTGTGTCTTTGCATAGTTCTCGCTATCATTTAATTGCAACATGTTCAACATTTCATGTTTGAAAAACTCGAAAATTTGTGACTTGGATTTTTTATCTTTATTTTACACATTTCTTCATACATTATCTATGAAACTCATTTCGTATAGAATCGTTCATAAATGTATGTGTCTGATTTTTCTCAGACACCAACCGAGCATAACTTCTCATTCCGCAACATCGCTAATCCACCTGTGACGCACTTTCATAACTGCATGTCTACTCTGATCAGCATATTTGAGAAGATGTTTGCTTCGATGATGTTCATTTTCTTTTATTCTTTGCATTATTTCGAAACTGATTATTATTGTCGCACTAAATTAAATTATATATAGTTGTTTTATAGATTTTAAAGATCAGTTCATCGAGTATTGGGTATAAATAATTCCTCTTACAAAAAGTGACTTACATTTCAATAGTAATGTTTTTATACAATCAATGAATTTTCATTTTTCGTTATGTATTGATACTATAAATTTTAATGATTGTAAAAATGTAAAAATATCTGAGTTCAAAATAAAGAAAAAAAATTTGTTTGGGTGCTGAAGGTGCATCATTCTGAATTTTTAAAATTTATTTAAAAAATTTTGTAGTATATATTAGTAATATTATTCAAATGATTTAACGTTTTATAATGCCACACTGAGAAAAAAAATTCATTGATTCAACGAAAATTTACTTAAATACAATCCATGAATTAATTTCATTGAAGAAATTTGAAAAATAATGTAATTGTCATGAACGTCTTCAGAATTTCGCTCGAATCTTTGTTATGCTCTAGAATGAGCTAGGAAGCTCCAATCGAAGTTTTGCGACGGTCAAAATTTATTAAAATTTGACAAGGAATTCGAAAAAAATTTTTTCAAATTTTTTTACCGGAACCTCTGGGTTCCAGGAACCGTTTTTCATAAAAATAGCGTTTTTTAGCCATAGATGCTATCGCCTTCAATTAAAAAATTTGAAAAAAATCAAGGTTATGTATTTTGATCTGAAAAACAAGAAAAAAATTTTTCCAGATTTTTTAAAGCTTCATATCGCCCTAAAAAAATTATTTTCGTAAAAAAAGGGCGTTTTACGGCTCAAAACCCGTTCTGGCTGAAAAAATCTGAAAAAATTTGAGGTTATGTATTTTGATGTCAAAAATAAGTGGAAAAAAAGATCGGGCTTTGTATTGCATCGTAGCGCCGTATATGAATTTTCAAAATTTTCAATAATTTTTTCTGAAGGCCTGAAGCACTCAAAAAATCTGAAAAAATTCAAGGTTGTTTGGATTGTTAAAAAGTATTTTTGTGAATTTTTCAGATTTTTTAATTGCTTCAGGCCTTCAGAAAAAATATAGATAGAAAATGGACGTTTATACCGGAAGTGGGGGGTAGGAGGGGGGAGGGGGTCTAAAATTTTGGTTTTGGGTCTTTCTTACCATGTACTATAACATACCAAAAGCGCGTCAAGATCGGTGACATACGAGCGCAGGTTTATTTAAAAAATTCTGAGCCTTACCCATATACCTTGTATTTACAAGGCTTGTACCAGATATATATATAATGAATATACCTTGTACAATGTACATACCTTGTAAATACAAGGTATTTATTATATATATAGCTTGTAAATATATAATAAATTTATTTTTTTTTTTAGTCATCGGTTTTCCAGATTTTTTGGGGAGGCCAGAACTTTTAGCGCGAGACTCATTCAACGCGTAATATATAGATTTTTTCATCCACTTCGTTAATCATTTTTTCATCGTTCACGCGAGAACCCGAGCGTGAAAGCATACTTACGCATACATACATACATACACACAGCGGAATGCGCCGGTTAGTTGAACGATGTATATCCATTTTTTTTGTCACGATGCACATACGCACTTAACGGCGCGGGGCTGCCCGGCAGCCAAAGCCGCACACACGTAGCCGCGCTCTCGTGTCGCGCGCCCGAATCGGGGGTACACTCATTTATTTACTATCCGCCGCGTATATACGGCGCAGCGCGCGTTGGCAAATGGTAATTGTAAATATAGGCTGCTGCTGCTGCTGCTCTAGCGCTCGCAGAGAGTAAGTGAGGGTCATGATGGATGCGCGACGCGAAAGAGAGAGAGAGAGAGAGGCCAGTTGCGAGGGTGGCAGGAAATGTTGAAAAATAACGAGTTACTACTCGGCTGCCTCGCGTATGTACGGCAGCAGCAGGTTCGCGCTTGTTTTGGACGATGGCAAAGGCAGCAGCAGCAACCCAACAAAATAACAAAACAAAAAAAGAAATAATGACGCGCGGACTTTCGACCGGCACTTTGTTGCTGTTGAAAAGTGAAGTATGCGCCCTCGTTTTAAATCGATGGCTTCAAAAAAATCGTGCGTGACTCTCTCTCCCTCTCTCGCAACGTAGAGATGTATGTAGCAGGAAAATTTCGAGTGTTTTCGTCGTGACGCAATTTCGCTCGATGATTGCACATTTTTCGTTGAAAAATTTCAAAAAATCCCAACAATAACGCTCGATGGCCTCGGCATCAAAGTGCCGTTTCGAATCATCGTAATTACAATCAAAACGATTCGTTACGTTCGCGTACATACGCGCGACGAAAATAAGGAGCCGCTCCGGTCGAGTCTTATATTACGCAAAGTTTGCGTATAAGCGCCCCGTCGCATCCCAATCGACGTGGGATGTAAATTAGATGGACGAGGGGGGCGCGCGCTCTATATAGCTGGCAATGTAGCCCGATAAGACAAGCATTATACACAGCCGCGAGGATAATACATGCATATTGATCGATGCGGTGGTGGTTGGCTGCTGCTGCTGCTACCGTTGCTGCTACTGCGAACGAAGCAGCCTCGTGGCAAAGTCAAGATGCCTGATAGCTTTACCTGCATAGCATACATACATATAGCCTACATGTATACAGCTCGTGTATGTGTGTGTATGTCTGCGTGTTATGTATATAAGTCTGCCGAGACAGTGAGAATTTGACGTAATTTCAAGGGTGATTGATGCTGCGGGAATAGTATCAAATGCACGTGGTTGGCTTGCGAAACTACTCAATCCCCGCATAAGTTAACGGCGGCACCGGCGTCAGTGGCACGTTGGCTATATACCCTTATATACGTATATATATACATATTGTCTACACGCTATGTAGCGGTGTATATAGGCTGCCTAGCGCGAGGCACGGGTTATAGCAGCCCGAACTCCTTACCCTAAAGCTTTCTCTCTCCGATCGCGCGCTACGATGTTGCTGCGTGTATAATACGCGCGCGTAAGCTCGATTCTCTTGGCTGCTGCTGCTTGCTATATAGCAGTACTCTACAACCAATATTTGT